ACTGCACATTAATGTCTGCTTTTAAGAAAAATGCATTTAGGCTTACACTTATGAAGCGCAGGGGGTGGCAGACGAATTGTTCTGGGTCTGGCAGTGTAATCGTTGCTACAACTTCCTTTTAGCTGACAAGAGAACTGCGAAAGCGTACGCAGTTGCAGGTGTGGCTTACGAAGGTACCAGACCGTCGGCTTCTCATTCTAAGAGTATTGGAGTGGTTCTGACCTCTGATTGTGCTCGCCTAGTCATGATTTTTCGAGGATTGCAAGGCCCGCTGTCTGTTTAGCGTCGTTGTAAAGTCTAAGTAGTGCTTTTACTCGGATAACTACAATCCCATGTTGTAGGTACAAGGGAGAAGAATTTGTTGTGCACAGAACTCCCAGGCAGTGGTGGCCACTAGCAAAGCCAGGCCTGGCGTTGACTGCGTCCTGTCATGTCTGGGAGAGAGGGAGACAGTAATTGCAGTTGCTTTCATATGATTATAAGCAAGTTCAAGTTGTGTCGAGGCGGTGTGCTACATTGCTCTAGGGGGTGTCATGTAAACTGGCCAAGCCACGACTTTTAGCCTGCCGCGAGTCCTAAAGTGTGACCGACGAATTCGCTTAATTGCCGTGAAGATTAATTCCACAGAGTCGAACTTATCATCTTTCATCTACCAGTCGGCACTTGATTGTCCGAACCGATCTATCAGCTAATGCCGAGATCGGAAACGATGACTAAAAGCGATATGTCCACGCGTGCTGCACACAACATGGGTCCCCTTCCGGCACCTATTTTTTACGATCATAAAAAGTGCCCCAAAAGCCACACTGAGATGGAACCAGGGAGGATGCCTCTATCTTCCGTTAGAGATGCTGAATTCGTGCCTGTAGTGAGTTATGCAGGACAAGTTCGAGCGTGATGTATGTGGTGGGGAGGCAATGTTTGGTGATAGGACTTGACTGGTGGCGTGTACTGCAGGTTTTAACGGAAGCGCATATGTCAAGTAGGCGTATGCCCCGAGTGTGGCCAATAGGGGCGGATGTAGAAAATATAGGTTGGGGCTTCTGACATTTGTCCGACAGTCTGCACGTTATAGTAAGGGGTGAAAACTCACTGCTGCACGCCAGCCATCAACTAGGACGATATGTAGCTCCTTCTGGAATTTTTGAGAGCCAACGGCCATCCACGAACGTTCATTGAACGGAATCGGATGCCTTACTGTACGCGGAGCGAATAGCGTTGCTAGCCAAAATCATGGTGGAGCATTCCGTATACGAAAGAGGTCTCTGAAACAGTGGCTAGATCCCTTGCGCCTCGGAATAGGAGTTGTCCTCAGGCCTACCTCAAGAATCCGCCAACAAGTGGTGCGGTAAAAAACCGTACTCCTAGGCAGAAGAAGTCAGCCATTGTCGACCGACTTCAGTGCAGCTGTGAGATGTAAAATTATGTTGGAAAGATCGGTTGACAGTTACAAAGGCGAAGGCATGAGCATCCGTGGGCAGT